CTTGCTGGACCCCACTTGCCAGTTCACAAGCCCATAATTTATTGAACACAATCTGATTTCTCACCAGTTTGCATCAAGTTCTTGATGAACTGAAGAACAACTGGTGCTCCGTTCAGATTTAGTTGATTTTCAGTCAATTTCTCTAGACACTTCTTTAGAAATCTTTACCTTGCAAGGAAATTAAATTAAACAATCACAGTTTACATTGATAAATGATATTATTACATTGCTTAGCAGTAGTTTAGAGCATAATTTATCATAATGCACTTAGGAGCATGGTGACTGTGGCCCCAGCTTAGTCAAAAGCAAAGGCTGACCCCACCCTTGTTACCTGGGAGGGAAGGAAGCTGTGCCCAATCTAAGGCTGATCTCCTGCCAGCACACTTCAGACAACAGAGTGCAAAAATTCATTCCTTTCCCATCATCAGGGCTACTTTTCCTGATCCTTAACTTCATTTCCCCACAGAAAGCTGCCAAAATGGTGATACATACCTAGCAGAAAAGGGAAATCTTTCTTTTCTCTGCAGACACATAATGAAAGCTGCAGCTTTCATTATCTGTAAACCTCACCCCAAAATGAAAAATCATTACTTAGATCAGCAATGTAAAAACCAAGTGGTTGTTAGTTATCAAAATGGCACTCTGATTACAAGGAGCTGTTTTGTTCTCTTCACATTTTTTAGTTAATAAAGGAACACCAATCTAAGATTACCAGATTACTTAGTGCAGAACCTCTGTCCTCCACTAAGAATAGTCCAGTTTCTAAAGGTTCTTGATTTCTTTGTTAACAATAAAATGCACCATAGGCTATTCTAAAAATGTGAGGATTAAAATATATTGTTTGTGTTCTGATCAAAATCTATGAGGTGTTCTGAGGCATCTCTCTCAATAGAAAGGACAAAATCCTGAGTTGCAAAACTCTTGTAGAAAGCCACACAAACAATTGTTCTTAGAATAAAGGAAGTTGAAACTGAGGAAATGCTTAGAAACAAAACCAGGAAGAGGATGCAATTTCTCTAACCCAAAGTGTCCACGAGACAGCTAGCCACCACTTCACAACCCCACTGAAAGAAATGGTGTGAAAATACAAATATATTTCCACTTTGACTGTTTCCAGACATTTTGAGGTATAAAGGATTCATTTTGCTCACTGATCAGATGACCTATAGGGTCTATTCCATTTAGGCAGCAAGTGGTTACCAACAACTTTTTTGGGGAGTTTTGGTTTTTGCTAAGACACAACACTGAAACATGAGATTCCTGGCAACAAGGATCAGTACTTTCTGGGAAAAAAAAATAGTAATAATAATAAAAAATACTTTTAAAATGTCATCCAATATGACAATTAGCTGACAAAAGGTCCTGTTAATTCTTTTGTAATACTAATATCTTCCAGATTTTAATGTAAGAGCAGAAAATTCAAGTGTTTGTGATCACCTCAATATTTTTTTCCCCACTCTACACCAACACAAGTCAATTCAGAATGTTTACTAATGTTCACTATTATAACACTTTATATTCATATTATATCTAGAGCTATAAGAGTCCAATCTCAAAATCCACATACTCTCTTGATATCACTGGTTCCCTTAATTAAACACTTAATCCCCAGCTCTTCAACAGGCTCCTAGAGTCCCAGCAGCCACAGAAGGATCCTCAAAGACATTTTGAAGTAATTTCTTCCCATTTCTTATTTCATTGCACACATTCAGCCTTTCCTATGTCACCAAGCAGGCCCTACCTACCAGGATCAAGAGCTGCACAGGCAGAACCAAGCTCTAGAAAATCCAAGAACCAAGGTATAGAAAATCTAAAGCTTCCCAAGTGACCTGGTCTCTGAATGACTCCAGTCTCACCCTCTGTACAACAAACTATGGGATTCCACTAATAACACAAGACAGGTGCTTGAGTTCCAAGACAGGAATGGAGACAACAGGTAATGCCCATTTTGGACTTGGGATTGTGGTTGGGGAAATGGTTCCAGATGTTGTCATGCCCTCATAAAAAGAAGCCAAAATGTATCAAAGTATAGTATTGCATCTAAGCTCTACTTCAGAGCAGCAGGAGAAATCACAGAACAAGATAAAAATATATCTATAGCTTTACTGAAATATTTTTTGAATACAAAATGTCTGTTGTGTTGGATAAAACAATAATCTCCATGTTTTCTTTGTATAAATACGTGCAAAATAATATTTTTAAAAAATAAATTAGTGTTCTGTCCTCTTCTTGTTGTCCTTCCTTATCTTTTTGCTCTTTCCTGCTTGTTTAGATGATTCTTCCTGAAAAGAAAAACAAAGTATTTCAAAATTTAAACAGCATTCCTCTCTACCACAAGGATTCTCTTGAGGTCACCCAGGAGATTTATTTTTCATATGAACAGTGCTCACTGAGATTTATGAAAGGCTTGAGTTGTATAATATTTATCCATTCCATTAATTTGTCTGCTTAACTTCCTTCTGCCTTCAGCAATGAGGAAATTATAGACACAGCTACAGCAACAGAAGCATATAATGTTAAAATAATCTAAGCCATTTCCACTCAAGGAAGAGGTTACCAGTATAGGAACACTTCTACACTATACTGCAGAAGTTCTTCTAGTGTGGATGTGGACACTGGTAATAAAATACATTTGTACACAATAAAGAAGCACAGTCTGAGTTAAAAATAAGGGGGAAAAAAAGGGAATTAATTCTTGGTACTCAAGCTTCTTGTGAGGCTAAATGCACAAAAATCTCCTTTTTATTTTATGAGCAATGCTTTCAAGTAAGAGAACACTGATAAACTGCCAAGAAGGTAAATCAACAAGTATGTACAAGCACCTCTAAAATGCAAAAAGCAAATAACTGAGAAGTGCAGGGGGGAGGAATGGGGAAGAATGCTCAGCTTTCAGCCACAGCAGTCTGAGATACTTTCCTATAAACAAGACAACTAAGAGTTGCCTACTTTTCAAGTATCCATTAATTCTTACTGTCTGAAACTTCCACATTCACAATTACATACTATAATGCATATAGACATATTTAATATGCTGTTCTGAGGATGAAGAAATGCTGAAACCCAAGAATATTAGATGACTAAATGACCCTTAAGAAGTAAATTGCTACTTAAAGACATTTGAAACTTTTTCTTTTAGCTTCATTTAACAGTGTAAATGTAAGCTCAGTGTAATTATGTAAGTTCACATTAAAAATGTCTTCATTTTAAGTGGGAGAAACTTACCACTGAAGGTACATAGTTGTATTCCACCAGTATATTTCTTGCACAGTTGTTGATGTGTTTAAAACGATCTGGTCCTAAGAGAATCCCTCCATACCAACGAGAAACCACAACCAACACGTTGTGAACGTTCAAAATCTGGGGGTTTAAATGAAAAGAGACATGAAGGTTTTTTTTAATTGAACTAGTTTTACTGTTGACAGCAATTTTAAACATAAAAAAAGTCTTCTATCTTGGATTTTTAAGAAAAACTTACAATCAGGTCTGTGAAACGTGTGATCAGAGGGTAACAAATAATATCAAGATAAGTTGTGGTTAAGTTTCCCTCTCCAAGCTCTGACTCAAAGGTAGATTCAAAGGTGTCAAGATATGCATCAGAAAGGGCACAAAGCCACCTCAAGTGCACTGCAGTTACTCACCCTTGTGCCAAAAGCTTCAGGCACCACTTCAAGGGAAAATTACTGACTTCATTTTTATGATTTTAGATTCAAAGGTGTCAAGATATGCATCAGAAAGGGCACAAAGCCACCTCAAGTGCACTGCAGTTACCCTTGTGCCAAAAGCTTCAGGCACTACTTCAAGGGAAAATTACTGACTGCATTTATATGATTTTATATCATTTTATATGATGAATTCTTATTTCTGGAGAACACCTCTCACTAAGCAGGTTGTCTATCCACATTTTTGGAAGTGTTGGTGGATAAAGTTAGTAACAGCCAGGGGACATATGGATACCCCAAATACCACAAGCAGGATATTGTAACAGCACCTGGATAATACACAAAAATCTCTGCATTTTCCAGGTTTGAGTCTTAGTCCCTTACAACTAAGCAGTTGCTTTGTGAAAGCAAAAAAAAAAGGCAGGTATAAAGTCCACACAACATGAATTCTATTAGCAATCAGGGCTGAAAGGAACTAAATTGCATTAATATAGCTTTTCTAACAGTGAGCAACAAAACCAAGCAGAGAGTTAAACAGAAGTGGTGATTTCTTTTGCTGCCATTAAAGGCAAGAAATATGGAAGGCCTACAACAGCTTTTACTTTTCACAAAACCTAGATGTGATTTGACTAGACTTCAAAATTAGCACTTAGTGTGTCTTAGAGCAATTCTTTCCTCAATACATCTTGTCAGAATAGATCTTACTGCATGGAAACATGTAGTGGCAGTTATCAGTTAAGCTTTTTTTCCTCAAATTAGCCTTGCATGATGAGTGACCACAAACCTGAATTTGTCCCTCAAATGAATTTGTCCCTCAATTAAAAAATAACTGACATAAGGATTGGGGCAGGTTTTGTGACAGGCCTTTTTTACTCTGCATTTATGTCCCAGCCACAAAGTCTACATATAGAAACTGCCTACAGTAAACAGGATGCCAAACAGAGTTAAAAAATTTCCCAGCTACAACTTTAAATTCAAAAGAATCAATCTAAAATAGCTTCTGGTAACCGGAAGGTGCTATCTTGACTGGAGAGCTACATTTATCTGAAATGAGATAAGGTTTCTATTGCCAAAGAAGATCTCTACAGCAACAATAAGTGTGTTAAACCAGCTAATTTTTATGCCCATGCTGTCAATTTATTCCATATATTCAAGGAAACTGAATGAAAGTCTGTGCAGGGGTCAGGCATGATGTTCTGTCCATCAGCTTCTCCCAGTCTTCACTTTCTAGATACCTTACACCACATAATAAGCATAGAAATCAAAATTATTTATCTTTTAAACCATTCAAACTGCTACCACCACCTACAAAACACTACTCCTTTCTGTGATCCAAGAACTGGAAATTCCAATTTACTCCATGTGTGTGACAGTCCATGGTTTTTATTTCACCTCTGAGAAAGCCACCATCTATTTGGCTACAAGCAAAGCAAGAGTTAAAAATCTTCTACAAGTTTATTTATGTTGCAGTGATTTTTAAAATCATTGTTCAAGGCTTCCAGAAGTCAAAAATTAATTTCTAGAACCTGCATGAGATGAAGAAGACGTCCCCCTGCTGCTGTCTCACCATCATCCTCACAATCCTGTAAGAATGTCTGCTTATCTTCACAGTATATTCTTAAAAAGAAAAAATATGAACATAAAATATCAATCAACTGACATTTTGACAAGATTCATGAAGTCTCAGAGATCTTTCTATATGCATGTGTATCAATTTTACTTCTCTAAGGACATTCATATGAAACCAGGATGAGGCTTAGGATAAACCACAAATATTTATCTCTACAGGAGACCATGTTTTGATAAGATTTTTTTTATATACTTCAGGTTAACTCCAGTCATTACCAGTGTAAAGTCCCTAATCAGAAAAAAACACTTAGGTTTTCAGCCTAAAAATTACACTTAGCTGAAACCAGCTCTAGCAGATATAGGTTCAAATTATGGTACATGCCCACAGGTTGGAAGAACTTGGACAAAAATACTGTGAATAATTACCTAAGTCTGTACTTCAGCAACAGCATGAAACTATTACTGAAATGTTCAGACTCTCCATGCCACCTCCTTCCTCAGGGGACATTTGGGAAACTTGGGGGTGTATTGCTTCATAACATGGACAGCTGTCCATCTATAGTTTTCCAGAAGTAATATTCAGAGGTCTGCTGTTTGCTACCAATTGATTTCACACCTTCTGAAGATATTGATACACAAGTGGCACAATGACAAAGAAGCTTCTGATACTAGATGACAAATATGAAGCAGTATTTTTCACTACTCCTCTCTCACCTGTATGCATAGATGTTGTGGGTAGCAGTTGCAATTTTCTTATTCTCATACAACTTTTCAAGAACTCTCTTTACCTTTAAAAGAACAGAAAGAAGCTTCATTTTACAATGGGGATTTCATACACACCACTTCAATACCACTGCTAAACAAATATATCCTTCCTAATGCTATAATGAAGCAGTTTGACATAAAATGAGGTAAATATTCAGTGTGATAACTCAAGAAGCAGTTCTCAATGCCCTCATGTTGGTTTAAAATATTTTTTTATTCTCATACAACTTTTCAAGAACTCTCTTTACCTTTAAAAGAACAGAAAGAAGCTTCATTTTACAATGGGGATTTCATACACACCACTTCAATACCACTGCTAAACAAATATACCCTTCCTAATGCTATAGTGAAACAGTTTTACACTTTGACATAAAATGAAGTAAATATTTAGTGTGATAACTCAAGAAGCAGCTTCTCAATACCCTCATGTTGTTTTAAACTATTTTTTTCTGGGGTACTAAACCCAGTTGTTCTAGAATTTGTAGATTTGTACAATTCTTGTGCTGCCTCTAGGGGTGGAGACCTGCTGAGCTGGCCTGCCAAAGGGCTGAAGAAGGGAGTCTTGTAAAGATAAGATGGTCCTGTTTCAGCTAAACCAAAGGCTAAAAGCTCTTACATAAATCTTGAAGGCCATAGTGTCCAAGTGAAGACCTTTGCTCAATTAACATCAATATTAATGAAGTGTGCACCCTTAAATATGGTAATGGGCCTAAGGGAGTACATTCTAAACATGATGATGATGCTACTCACCTCTCCACCCAAATCACAGAGGGCAGAGACAGACAGGATAAGCATATTAAGAAGAACAGCAGGGGAATATCTCTCTTGGAAGGAGAAGACTGAAGGTCTAGCAGAGATGGCCAACAGGCTGTACTCCTCCTCCTCCACCCAGGACAGGGACATCTTCTTGGTAAGAACTGCACCTTCAATATCTGCCATACCTTTTCTGAGCAGTGCTATTAGATCTTAGTGCTATTGTGCCTCTGACTTTGTCAGCTCTGCCTGGGAATTACCAACTCGAGCTCAATTTTCCTTTTGCAGTCATTTATCAACAGCAATTCCAGACCTATTGCACCTGTCACTTGAATAAATCAAATCTATCTGGTTTGAACTTCTAAGCTGTCTCAGTGCAAGTCCTTAGCAAGGCTCTGAGGCAACTCTTAAACCTAGTTTTTGACTTTGCAAAGCTGTGGCAGGCAAATGTCACACTCTTGTCCTTAATGTGACACACATTAACAGCCTGAGGGTCTCCAGCCTGGGAAACAGAAACACAAGGCCTGTAAAACATGATAGGGATCTATAAAATCCAACTGCACAGAGGAGAGGTGCAATAAAGTTATGAGGGACTGATCCACAGCAGAGGAAGGCACATTTTCATCCAGTGTTGTGTGTTCTGAAAGCTAATTCTCCAATACAGTTCCTTTCTGAAGGAGGGAAAACATTTATTAACTCATTTTAATTCATTTTCCAAGTAGCTCGTGGTAGACTCATTAGCTTCCAAATCTCTCTCAGTAAACTTGACAACATCCAAAACCAAATTGCAGTGGTATTATTTTGTAATATCTAATGCATGGAATGGTAAAGAACAGCAGGACACTGCAGAGCTGGTATTTAGAACTACTTAACTGAAAGTGAAAGCAAGAAACTGATGACTACTCAGACAATCTTAGCACACAGACATGCAAAGACAGACAGACACGTGGCTAATCCCAAGTATTTCAGTAATATTTTGTCAAGCTCTAAGTATAGACAAAAAAAAGAGTAGAATTGATCTCTACTAACTTGTTGGGGTGTCACCACAGGAGCCAGATGGGCCTGGAAAGTACTCCTCCTGTCTGTGATGGGGTTTCCATGGTGTATGGGTGGCAGCTCTTCATCTGCTGGTAACAAACAAGGGAATGTTTGTTTTCTTTCAACAGTCTTGCAACAATGTGTATGGCCACAGCAGTAAAGAACATCTCAGCTTTAGGAGTGGGATTTGTTAAAGTGAAGTACTCAAGATGACATAAAGAACCACTGAAACTATGTTGCTTTTTTTAATGACTGTTACTAAGCTCTACTATAATTTTAATGTTATTAGTTTTACTCAAAAGCTGAGTAGAAAACCAGAATGTTAAGGCCTTTCTCTTCTAAATTATTGCATCAAAAAAAACAAGGGCATATATTTTACCTTCTTGACTTTCAGATGTTATGCAATTTAACATTTTCTTTGGATCTTCCTGAATGGGCTGATACTCTGGGAGAAAATCATCTCCATCATCTTCATCCACTTCTTCACTTTTTTTCTTCATATCTGGTTCTATTAAGATTTAAGTAATAGAATTTATTACACATTTTTTGGTGAGGCAAGACAACATTACAAATTCTTTTTCTCAAAAAACCTTCTCAGTTCAAATCAGTTTGCTATTAAAAGTTATAAAATGCAGAATATAACATTAATTACAACAGAACTCAGAAATTCTTAGTCCAGTATTAATGAGCATCTTGCTTAAGAATAAAATACTCATCCAATGGGCTCCTGGCATAATATTTTGTTTCACAGAATGGTAGGGGTTGGAGGGAATTGCTGCTGTTCAATGCTACTTCATGAGGTTAAAAATCATGATATTTGAAATACCTCTCCAGGTAAGTTTCAAACACTTTGGGATTCTCAAGATCCCATTTTCCTTCATGCACAGGACATCCAAAAATAATAATGAATGGCAAAAAAGTAAATATTATACACAGTTAGTGCTCTGGCAACTGGATGGAGAGAGGAGCTACCTTAGAGACAAGTCAATATATCACAACCTAATTTCTTATTTAGAGGGCCTATGATGTGCTGATGTAGTTTTTACAACAAGCATTTTCCATTAAAAAGCAGAGGGGTGATACAGCATGTTCAAAAGGCCTGCAGCAGAAGCCACAAAATACCCAAAAAACCTTCTAATAACATCAGTACAATTTTCACTTCTCAGTATCCACTCCTTTAAGTCATGTCAACACAGAATGACTTTTAAAATGTCTGTGAGGTAGCAGAAAAATGTACTGTTCATTGAAAGACTAAAACTAGACCTTTTCATGAATCAGCACTGAAAATATAAGGGTTTTTCCCTCTTCAGGAAATTCCTCACAGGAATAAAACCATGCTAAACTAGCATCCATGACACAGAAGAACAATTCTATTTCATTTTGCCATAAATGCATGCATTTAACAGCAGTTCAGCATTTTAATGCACAAAAAAACCCTCACAAAACCACCCCTGTAAAACTTCTGTAACAGCAGAAGAATCACTGCAGCTCTAGTGATGATGTAGTTCTCATCCCAATATATTAAAGCACAATTAAGAAGGAATATTTTGTCATTTGTCTGCATACTCCACTGAAGTTTATCTTCTCTTGGGGCTCAACCAAATCCTCCAAGAGTGCCCTCAACACCAGCAATTAATTACTGATATGAATAACTCCTTGGCAGAACAGAGGGCAATGCACAATGTACCTGCATGCAGCACTCTGCATCCATGCAATTAATTCCTGAGAGAGCTGAGGACCTTGTTCTAGTTCAGAGGCCACTCTCCTCCTTTTTAAAAAGGGAAGCTCTCACTCTAAAACAATAACTCATGGCACTGGAGACTTGTTTTCTGGAATTTAGATCCAATAGAAAAGTGGGTGTAAAGCTTTAACTTGTAAGGAAATCTTGCTCTGCAGCTGAATAAGCGCAAACTGAAATACTTGTGTATTTTCTGAAGTACCTGGATCTGATGACTGTGCCTTTTCTATCAGAACCTCTCGGATCTTCTCCACCCATAAATAAAGAATACTTTCACCAAGGTTCTGTCTGGAAGTTAAAACTCACAGTGAATGAAGAATCCTTTCCAAGCGAAATCCACAGAAACAACACCAAATAACACACAGATTTCAGACATGCAGATCTAGAACTTCATAATCTAGTGAGATAAGGAGCTCAGAAAGGCTTGTGGGAAGTTCTGTCTCAGTAGTGCACTAGGTGAAACACATGATAGCTGCATCTTTGTGGCTTGCATTACTTGATTTTAACTTTTTTCAGCACAAAAAAGCACCAAAGCTGGTGGAAAACAGGCAACCAACAGAAATATTCTGGCCACTAAGGGAAGAGAAAGCAACTGTGAGAAGAAATTAAGACAGTCCTCAGTGTTTTCAAGAGAATACTAAGCTAGCATGTCTAGCCTTAGAGCTTGCTCTGGAGCAGTTCTCTCTACCAGAAGTACTGGACTGCCAGTAATAAGCTCCTTCAGCAGCTCTGTGGCTGCAAGGGACTCCAAAGTAGATTTAAAACAGTGTCTCAAGAAGTTGTCTTTGCAATTATATTGTAATGTTTGCAAACTGTGCATGTTTGTCTCAGAAACAAAACTACAGATTTAGGGTAACTTATGGTTTCCCATTGATTTTATTCTTACTGCCACCATCTGGGGCACAAGGTAAGTACAGATCAACAGCAAAATCACATTTTTAACTATTACTTTGTATAATGTATACAGACCTACTGCTAAATATCATCAGAAATTCAAACAAAGATACCTATTTTAAGAAAAATATGAAAGCAAAATAAGGAATTTATAAACCTGTAGCTCTGTCTTCAAATTCTGGACCAACTCCAGAATAATTCAGTGCCCTGGTTTCATTCTGCTTATCATAAGGAAGTACTACTTTAATACATGAAGAACTGTATTTGCTTTAACAATGGAATGAGAGAGATTAGACAATAAGATTTCTGTTTTGCACAAGGAAATAGCAAATTCTTCAGCTATAACCCAATTTCAGTTTCTGCCTATTAGCAAACTACACTTGGTCTGGAAGGTTTTCCTTCTGGGCTATTTTTCTTGTCTCTTGTATAAAGCTTTCCATGGAGGAAAAGTCTTACCAGAAGAATATTTGGGAAGAAGACAAAATAAAACAAACCAACCCCAAACTTTTGTCTCTTGTATAAAGCTTTCCATGGAGGAAAAGTCTTACCAGAAGAATATTTGGGAAGACAAAATAAAACAAACCAACCCCAAACTTTTGCTACATTTTCAAGAACTTTGGATCTCTCCAAACAGACTTGTGATCTGTAATCATCCACTTTCTCCACCTCTTTGAGAAGACATAGTGACTGACTGTCCAGTTCATACTGTTTTAGATTTTATATTGTTTTTACAATGCAGTTTAGATTACTAGGGACTAGAAATCTGGTAAAAGACAATGGGAATGAGACAAAGTACCTCTTTATCTGATAGCTGTTAAGACATTGGAGAGATAAAAGGCTTTCACAAACACTCTGCACATCAGTGACTACTCCAGAGGGTTTTTTTTAAACAGCCTAAAATGATATATGTGGCCTAAATTCCAAAAGCATTCCTTTCCTGCTAACAAAAATGGGAGGAGATCATAGAGGGCTCTGAACAGCAACTGGTAGAGACAGAACTGAGCTGCACAGCCCTGACCCAACCACCACAATTTCACAGCCCACAAGACAAGGAAAGAGAAGAAGAAAGTGCTTCACAACCATGCTGCTTCTCACAGTCCTCACGTGACAACTTGCACCAGCAGCTCAGGACACTAGAACAAGCACCTCCAGCAGCTCTACCTCTGGTAGAGACTCCAAAAATCCTGTGAAACTGAACAGAGGTAAGGACAATCTCTGCCCTTTTTGCTCCACTGAGCAACTGTGGTTACTATGATGCCATAGAACTTTTCACTTCAAATCCTTCTGCATTTTTAAGACTCCAAATTCAATTTTACTTGCCTGAATTATCCTGTTGCTTAATTAGATAAGAAAGCCAGTTAATCAAAGTAACTGAGCAATTAGACAGAAAACCCTCATGCAAGCTAAGTGCTCTCCTCCTTATTTTATGGCATTAAAAAACATTTATTATGCAACATGTTCAGCTTTCAGTATTTTGGGCATGACAGTGCTTCCTTCTGACATATTTTCATTTCATTTCGTTTATATTATCTTTGGGATCTGAAAGAATTAAATAAACCATATAAAATTACTACATTCCAATTTCACAGCCATTCAAACCTACATAATTTGAGTGTTTCTAAATGTTCCATTTATTCTCATGCCTTCATTATGTGTTGTTAGCTGCACACTGTGATAATAAACAGTCTGCAGTGCTACAGATTCCAGTTAATATGTTCTACATGTGTTTAATTTGTTTTAAAACCTACTTATCCCTCAGCTATCTTTTAAGAAAAACTATTTTGCTACTTATGTTCTAAGACACAAGTGTTTTCACATTCAAATGCAGAAATCTCATACTCCACAGCACCAATGCCCAATCTCAGATTCTAAAACAAGCCTAATTCTATTAGAAGTCCAAATGAAGACTTGAATCCTGATAGAACACCAAGTCTAAAGAATATAAAAGAAATTTGTGAGTTTAACACAGTTTTCTCTTGCAAAATACTTACTAAATATACAGTATCTTTAACTATTAGACTTAGATATCATTTCACAACTACCAGTTCATGCAGGTACTTCAAAAGCACACACTGAGCAGGGCCCAAAATTCAAAATACTTTGTCTCCTTTAACTATAATCCACAGTCTCTAAACTTACACATATATTTCTTCCAAGCTGTTTGCTAGTTCCATATAATCTTGTCCTCGAAGCCAAGGGGCACTAGAATGAAAAGAAACAGAATGAAAATTGTGCCTATGCACTGATTCCAACACAACCAATATTCATTTAAAAATAAATAGGATAAACACCTTGCCTATAAAACTTTGTCAATCATTCCTACTTAACAAGATTCCAGCTGTAAATATCTTGGTAAAAACATGATCACCCAGCTCTCCTTCCAGACTCCTAAGCTGTGCTGCCTTTTCTTACCTCAGGTGAGAGAGCTGGACTCCTTTTTGAGTTTATGAGCAAAACTCAGCAGATAAGCCACATGTCATGCCCTGCAGGTCCTTCTGTCAACCCAATCAGGGATCTGGATTACAAATCCCCATTCCCATCTCATTAATGTGCCAGGAGACAAGGGGAGAGGAGGAAAGGAAAACTGGAAGATGGCACATGCCACAGCTGCCTCTCAACAAGAGTCAGTGCTCAGAGGGAAAGCTTGCCTTACAGTCTGAAACAAGGATCCAGGCAAGGCAGTTATACCCCAGGAAGCAGTGAGACATTGTCCAATCCAACAAGCAGCAGCCACTATCCCTGCACAGCCTAATTGCTGCCTTGCCACAGAATAACACTGTGAGAACTGCAGTTGAGGGAAAAGGGCAAACCATCATGAGGAGCTATATAGAATAAAACAGAATATTCTTGCTGGAAACATCCCCTATCCCTGGTGTACTTTAATTCAACAAGTCACCTTAACTAAATTTCAACTTTGTAAACAATTAACAGTGGTTATTCAGGAAAAAAAAATAAATTACTAATGTTTGAAAAAAAACGTTGCTTACTTTAGTTGATAAATAGGTGGCTCTGCAGTTGGATAACCTGGTGGCAAAATCACCTGCAAGAAATTCAGGATAAGTATTCACTGGACTAATCCTCTCAGTCAGCTGTGCTTTATTAACAATCAGTGTTACAAAGGAAGAAATTAGTTGGCTCTGTTGTCAAAGAATAAGTAAACCTGAATATCTGTATTTAGGAATCCAATAATGGCAGTACATACAAATATTATATTTCATGGCATAATTTTTGGACATAAATGTCATGCAAAATAAAATCCAGAAGACATTTGAAAGGAGCTGTATATGTGGTTACTGGAATTATTTACATGGCACTGCACTTCCTTAAGTGTTTCTTTCACTAAGTAAACTTACTGGGTTTTAGTTCTGTAAACGTAAAGTGGTAAATTACTCAGTTGATCTGAATTTTGTTTTGTTTCCACACTTCCAGGAATTAAATCTAGAAGCTATTGCAGCAGATTCAATGAGATATCCTGCACAGTCATTGCAAAAAATATTTGAAACATCAGCCTTTGGAGAAAAACATTGAAACTGGTTTTTTGTCAGGTGTGGAACTTGGATATTTTAACTCCTTGAAATATCACAAGCACACTCATGTGTTACAAGAACAGTCAATGAAAAGTCTGTCACAGATTCCAACCCAAAAGCCCCTTAATCTGATAATAAATCTCATTGACAAAGGTTTCATGGAGGCACAAGATTTTGCCTGCCTCAGCCCAGCTGCAAATTCTGCGACAAGCTCCTAACATCACTATACCTGCAGGCAGAGGGTCCATTTCGGCCGATCTAGACAATCACTAATCTTAATGCAATAGATTTTTTCATCTTCATCGACAACACACCAATCTTCCCCATAGATGGACGAAAGGGCTTCAATTTCATCAGTCTAAAAAGAAACAAACATGGGGCAAAAAGAAACAAACCCTTCCCAAAGCCCACAACCTTGTGGGGCCGGGCACAATTTGAGGCTGTTCCCAGGGACACAACGTTTTAGGCTGTTCCCAGGGACACTTTTTAGGCTGCCCCGGAGCTGTCACC